AGCAGATGCAAAATTTGATTTTGAGATAATGTAAAAAAAAAAAGGCCCAAGAGATTCTAGACGATTGGCAAGTACATTCATTAATGGAATAAAAATTTGAAAGAATCAATAGTTTAATCCAACAGTAATGAACTGCTAGTTTGATGCTTAGCACAAGCTGGGTCTGCTAGTCTCAGTAACGAACTGCTAGTTCGACGCTTAGTGCAAGCTGGGTCTGCTAGTCTAAAGGATAGCTATTGATTCAGTATTTCTTTTGCTTTACATTTTATTGAAAAAATTTTTTGCAAGTATTATTGTTAAATTTGCATTTTTTGAAAGAATTGGTCTATACAAAAGAAAACCAAAAAGCGTTCTAGTTCCATGAATATAAAGAATTTCAACATAAAGCAGATCAAGCAGTTTGCTGAAAATAATACAATTCAAATTATAGGTAGTGACAATATAACTTCAAAAAAGGTACTGATGGACTTTTTTTTATATAGTTAAAAATTAACAGAACAAATAATATTGTATTTTAATTTTAGGATAACCAGACTACTCCTTTAAAACAGAATAGGATAGACGATTACTATCTTTTGCATAGTGACAATGATATCTTCAAGTATGTTAGTGTTTTCATCTGAAAATATATAGTTTGAGATTAAAGATCTTTCTGATTTTTTTTTATTTTAGCAAAAGATAGATACAGGTAATGTTTTTTCTGATGCCACTATCCTATCAACACCACCACCAGGAATAATGAGGACGAACTCCAAACATTAGTGGAAGAGGAAGAAGAAGAGATCTCTCCGTTGAATAATGTCGTAAAATACATACTAGCCATGGCAAAAAGGTGGGTTTGCCATCTAAACAAGACATTGGAAATATTTTTAGCAAAAATATTTTGCAACTTGCAAAATTCACAAAGGGCAAGGAAACATTAATAGCGATAGAAAGAGCTACATTAAGATATTCAGTGTCAAGATTAATAGACCTTTTAGCCCATATACAAGATTGATTTACCACTGAAGAACTTGTATTTATGAAGGAAGATTATAAAATTGCCCTAAAATTCCTGACCTGGAAGATGATGTTAATACCTTTATCACTGAAGTTGAAAAGGTAATTTGTGTATATAGATATTACATTTTTTATTTTATGCTAGATGGCTTGAAAAGACCCAAATAAGGCATATAAATTTTGCATAGAAAACACATCAATTCAGAATTCAATTTGTGCATATATAAAATTAGCAAAGTTTATGGCAATTTGTAAGTTGTTTTTTGTTTTTTTCTTTATTCTCATTTTTCTTTATTTGCATTTTTCTTTGTCTTCTAATTTTAATATAGTCTATTCAAAGTTAAAGATGGAACGGATTTGTTGGATTGCGGAAAAGAAAGTTACACTGAGGTGGACATTATCACAAAAGCAACTTCATATATTGTAAAAGCTCTAATTAAGAATCTAAAAATTTATTATAAATGGTAATAAAGTCATGCTTGATCTTAACTATTGTTTATTTAATAGCAGACTGATAAACTCATGAATTATATTAGGGGCGAATCATTTTGCCCCTTGACCAGATCAGAAAATTTCGAAAAAGGGCCAAAGTGTGATATTCGATTTTTAAGCTCCTCGAGTGTTGATCTTGGAGAATGGGAATTTGCCGTGCGTGCGAATGCCACAAAAGCGATTGGAGATCGTTGTAGATCCGCAAGAGTAAACCAGTCAATACTAAATGGGATGTTAAAATTGAATCTAACAGATGACCAAGCTAAGATGGCAAAAGTGCCATTTTTGCAAGTCACCGATACGTATGGACAAATGTTGCTTGAAGATTGCACAAACGGATTTTATTTAGTTTTTCCTGGTTCGTCGTTCGAACTGCCAACAAATTCATAAGCTAAGGACAACCATAAAAATCTTTAAATATGTATTGGTAAGTTATAGTGGTCATTTATTTTAAGCATACTGTATGAGAATTAAGAAACTAATTGATAGAACAGGAAACATATGAAGAAACCAGTAACATGCTTGAAGAACTCGATCACGGGTATAATAAACTTGAATGTATCTTCAAGAAGGCTGATTACGACAAGCAGTCACATTACAAGTCCAATTTTATCAGCGAACCGTGGTGGACGCCGAAAAAAAATATTACATCTCAGCTATCAACTGCAATTAAAGACATGGATGTAAAGAACTAAAAGCGGAATGTATTTTGATATACTTTTTTAGAGCGTTGATTATTATAGCAATTGACGGAGAATAAGTCATATATTTTGTAAATTATAATGTCACAATTTTTTTCCGAATATGAAAAGGAAACGTGCATTGAACCTTTTTTTTGTCAGATCGATGTAACATATACGTATAGAATATCTGCATTAAATGAAAAAATCGATTTATGATATGAATAATGAAACCTCCCCGACCTAAACCTATCAAAATTATCTATAAAGCATTAAAGAAAAAGTTTCAAGTCTCTAGAGAATGTGACCGATTTTAAAGCTACCTTAATTTCGGTCTTGTCAAATGATCTGCATTATATTAAAAATAGTAATATAACTACTCCAAGTAGGGTCACCGACTATCTGCTGCAACTGACCCCAAATTCTGCTTTCGAAAAAAGATAAAATTTCTATAATTATGCTATTTATGCGAATCGAATAGAATATGTGCCATTTAACGAAAAAAAAATTATACAAAAAGTTCTATCTAAAAAGGTATATGTCTGATTTCGTTTGATCTGCCATTACCTCTCCAACCAATACACTCGTTAACCATCCCGATACAGTTATCATCCGGCCTGAATTACGCTAATTTCACTTCGATTTTCAAAATATTATTTTATGCGCAGATAATGCCTATCTATAATATGCGAAATATGCTATCGCATACGTTATCCGATGAAAACTATGTTTATGCGCATAATATGCTATCGCAAATAAAAATGATGGTTGTATTCGTCCAATAGAGACAGAAGAAAAATTAATAGGCTCATAATTAGCAATAAATCCGATAATATATCTGCATAACGATTTAGAAATCGGTATTGGTTGTGCTTACGTCGTAAAGCAAGAATTAAAAGTCCATAACTAAATGCCTGCACGATAATAGTTCTTTGTTTTAATTATCCGGCTTATCTGTCAGGAATGATATGAGTCTATTTGAATGGATATATGGGGTCTTTGCCTTGAAAATGACCTTATGGGACTATGTAGATTTTATGAATAAAAATTAAAATTTCTAGCTAT